AAAAAAAAAAAAAAAAAATCTCCCATTTACAGTATCACCAGAAAGCCCATTTGACCAGGTAAGGCAGGCAGGCCCTCTATTGTGTGTCTGTTTTTCATAATCGTTAACAGAAGAGAAGCTCCTTAAATAAGAGCCTGTTGAGCTTCTGACATTTCCAGCTCTCTGGCACCATTTCTGTGCACAAAGACTTCACTGCAGATTTTTCAAACTGTGATAGTATACCATTACCAAATGGCAAAATCAGTATAGACCAACTTTTCTTGTTTCAGTGGAACAACAACAAAACATTTCTCATGAGGAGCATAGAAGAAAATAGGATAGAAAGAAAGAAGCAGAATGGGTCCCATTCATGAGGCTAAAGCTTTGTTTTCTGAAACTTAGTTCCAGTCCTGTCTGTATTCATGAAAAGGTGTGATGTAAAACGTTTTTCTTGTTGTGGACTGATTTTTTTGGGGGGGAATTGCCAGAGGGCATGTGTGCTCAGTAGAGAGAGACAGAGAGAGAGAGAGAGAAAGCATCCCCCCAGCCGCGTGTCATCACACCACAAAAGCAAACTCCATTCCTCCATCCACTCAGGGCCCTGGGCTCTCACAAGCACCAAGTGTGCTTCTCAAACCACTGGGACCAGGCCCCAGATCACGGCTGGCCATGTGGGATCTGGCTCCCTCAACCACTAGGCTACAGAGCTGTCCTGGATTGTGATTTTTTAAGGCTTTTAATTTGCCAGCGGGAAATTAAAGCGCTCTCCAGGGAAAGACGGAGACCGAGAAGGAGCAAGAGAAAGCACGACGTGGCAGGGAAAAGGAGGGTGGGGCGCTAAAGGAGGGCCTCACGGGCCTGTGATGAGTCTAAACGTCATGGAGAGGATAATGATTTTAGGACAGAGACTCAGTGCAGAGAGTGGTGATGAGGGAGTGTTAGAGTGATCTCCGTCCTATGGTAGGATGGCCTTAGCCACAGGTGGTGGAAGAATTCACCAACCCGGAGAGAAAAGCAGATAGAAAATGAGTTATTCCCTTTCCGAGGGAGGGAAGGGATTGGATGTGGAGAGTTGCCTCGGCCCTGAAGTGGGCCGGCATGGAGGTTTTACTGGACTTAAGGAACGGGGTTGCTGTGGTGGGGTAATGGGAGTGACCTTGGACAGGATGCCTGATGACCATTTACAGTCTCTGGACTGGTTGTCATATCTGGCCACTTTGATCCGACACATATTTGGAGGTTTGTTTATGTTTTAGAGTCAGCAAGGGACTGGTCTCTATCTCCATAACTGTATGTAGTAACTTAGGGAAACAGAAGTTAAGCCATCTGTGGTGAAGTCAAGGAGTGGCCAGCTAGCCCTGGAAGAAAAGGGGAAGGAGAACGTTTGAAGCACCTGGAAATTTTAATGAGCCTTCTCCATTAAGGAAACACCATCAACCCAGCGACAAGGAGACTGAGATGATGGGTTAGCCCTTTCCAATGTCTTAAGGTGCTTGGGTGACTTTTTTTTCTCTCTCTCTTGAAATATTTATTGTAATTTATGATTTACGTAGAATCATTCCACATAGTTTTTATGGGAAGAGAATTCCTGCAGAGTTTCCTGTTTTGAGGTGTTTGGTGCTTGCACACCTAAGCGCTCGCTGTGGATGGAGGTGAGCTGACAGAGCGTGAGGTGGTAGGCCATTTTGCAGGCACACGAGCACGCGGTATGCAATGGAGAGCGCCCCCCTCACCCCAGAAGGCTGGGCAGTGGTCCCTGCTGATGGCTTGGGCCTGCCCGTTGGTCCTTCTAGCCCTGGGATTACTGGGTCTCCCTGTTGTCTTTCTGTTTTTTCCTTGGGTGACTTTGAACCTTTTTAGGGAGGGAGGAAGGGTTCGTATGGGAAGAGACAGTGGGGCTGAGCATTAAGGGGGTTGGAGGACCCCTATTCCTAGTGGAATAAGAGTTGGAAGGAGGACATCACATCTACGGGCGCCATGTGAACAGAACTCATCGATTTTTCCTGAATCGCAGCCCTGCTACTAGGGTGAGGCTAATCGTGGGGCTGCAGAGTTTTGTGAGACTATTCTTATTGTATTTCTCTGTTTCTCCCTTCTGAGTTTTCTCCTGCTCTTTTTCAGAATCTATTATTTAGATGTTGGATCTCTAAGCTTAACCCTCTGATTCTTTTTCTCTTCTCTCCTTCTTTTACTTGACATTCTAGATGTCCTTTATCTTCCAGCCTTTTTACTAAAATATTTATGTCTGCTGTCAAATTTGTGTGTGTGTGTGTATGTGTGTGTGTGTGTGTGTGTGTGTGTGTGTGTATAAAATTTGTCATGGGGCACATGGCTCACCAAAGAGAGAAGGCGAGTAAGTAATCACCTCCCAGGAGGATGGCCACACACAATCCCTTCTCCATTCTCTTGGAGTTTGGGGGATGCATGCACACACGCCTGGCATGATTTTCAAGCTCCTGGGTCTGGGACTCAAACTGTGGAGTTGGCCACGTGGGGTCCAATGCCTTAACCACTATACCACCGGCTAGCCCTCTGCTGTCAGTTTTTGGGGTTTTTTTGTTTGTTTTTTAGAGAGAGTTTTGCTCTAGGCTGTGTGTGCTTGCCGGAGAGACAGACAGTGAGAGACAGAGGCAGAAAGCGAGATGTCACCCTCCAGGGGTGATGACCATGCTGCAATCCCTTCTCCTCCATTCTCTCGAGCTTTTGGGCACACACACACACACACACACACACACGCACACCAGTGTGAATTTCAAGCCACCAGGTCCAGGACTCAAACCACAGTCAGCCATGTGGGAGTCCAGCAACATAACCATTATGCCATCTGCTGGTCCCACCATCAGATTTTTTAAACTTCGCTTATTTATTGATTTCATGGGAGAGAGAGACAAGCACCTT